CCCCCCCCCCCCACTAAGTTTCAAGACATCTAGATACGCCACTGACTTACATGGCCAGATGTAACTACTCAATCAATGTGCCACCAAATCCTAACCAGCCTTCACCATGCCCTCACGATGGCACCGGGGACGCAACTGCCAAAAAATATTGTTTGGCAGCGAAGGGACGATACCAATACACAGTCAACAAACTACCTGGTTTCTGGGTTGATTTGCAAGGTACAACATGGCTCAACTATTTTTTACTTAGGGGTTAATCGGTAAAAATCGCACACAAATCATACGACATCACTGACAACGCCGGGGACGGTAACTAGATTTTGAGATTAATTTTCCGAATAAAGTTATATTAAATAACTTCTAATGACGAACTATTGTCTTCAGTTGTCTTTGTTGGTCATTCAACTGCCATTTTTATCAATTTTTTCGGTGATATTACCATTCTCAATAATCTATAAAAACACCCACATACTATAGGGCCTAACAACGTCACGTTAGATCGATCGGTGGATATAAGATATGCTTGTGTCTTCATTGTGTTATTTATTCAGTTGAACGCTGTATACATTGTATTTATTACTCTATCTCTTTAAGTGTGTTTCATTGCACACCAGGCACTTATTCCCTCGAATCGCCGTGACGCTTATTCTAGGGCGGCGTTTATTCGAGCATTTGTACTGCCTGATGCCTATTAGTTAGATAAACGGTTTCTTCAATTCAAATTGCAAATGAAACTCAATGTGGCACCAATGCTGAATATTGTGAAGATACAACTTTTATAAATAAAGACAACAACATGCAAGGGTACAAAATGGAAAAATCATTATGAATTTGGCAGACTCGTCAGAGTGACCACGCACGCACGAATTAATAATAGGCCTACTTGAATATGTTATTATTTATAGAAGCCCATTCAAAAAGAAGCCCGTGGCTTCAATTCGAGGTTACGGTATACTACAATCATGGAGGTATAACATAATTCTATACCTCCATGATACAGTACAATAAGTATATAACATTGAAACAGTTCAGTCGGACTCTGAACATGACAGCAGCGTGTGATTGGATGGATTACATTTTAGAAAAATGTAAATATTCAAGTTTTAAAAACATAAACATTTTTACTTTATCAAGATTACACAGTACTGTATGACCTAAACAATACATTTTGGACAATGCATTCAAACAATCAATTGGTATGCACGAAGATTATATGACATCATTATCATACAACAATAAACGACATTACCTGCAAAAGGGAACCAAAATACTAAATTAAATTTAGGTAAAAGTTAAGATATTAGAATTACGAGAAAAAAAATAGTTGAAATATTAAACTTACAAATAAATATGAATAATCAATGTAAAAAGATATATTATATTTACATCAAGATTTAATTAACTTATTCGATTATTGTGCCAGAAAATTATTATTTAATAGATTATAGTACATAATTTACATATTAAATTGACTTATTAATTTCAATTATCATTTCTTAATATGTAATTTTATCTATGAATTTGGCAGACCAGAGTGAAATAATCAATGTAAAAATATATATTATATTTACATCAAGATTTAATTAACTTATTCGATTATTGTGCCAGAAAATTATTATTTAATAGATTATAGTACATAATTTACATATTAAATTGACTTATTAATTTCAATTATCATTTCTTAGTATGCAATTTTATCTTTGAATTTGGCAGACCAGAGGGACAGTCCAGGCACCACCACCGATCAAGCACAGAGAAAGGGGATATAGTATTTCCTCATTTAATTTACAGCTGGATGTTTTTAATTGTTTTGCAAAATATTATAATTTCCTTATCAATATTAAAGGATTATCAATCTACAATCATTTTTAACATAATTTTTTATACCTGTGTTTTAACCTAATCTGGCGTTTATTCACACGCCCTATGCACAAATTAACAATGTGCTGATATTTAAATGGGCGGAGTTTAAACATGACAACAGCGTATGATTGGATGCACGGACAGTGACGTTACTGGAATGTGACCTTTACTTCTTGACCTGGTTTTTCTCAGGTCAAATTGATTTCCTCAAACGAAAGCAAAACACTGTTGATAAAAAAAATATGGATGGAAAACGGTAACGTATAATCTACGATTTCTTTAACTTTGTACAACATAAGAAAGTGATTGGCATATTAACTGAATTATTTAGATATTTATAAATTAAGAATTTTTTAGTAATATTTCTTGACAATGCTGGTATGTCTATTAAATCTACCATCATCAGTGATGATGGTTTGACGGGTAGACAGCGGAGCTAGGCTATGTCTAGGCGGATGGCCTACCCTCCTTTTCGGCCTAGCCTAGTGGGAATCCCCTTTACAGGCGAGTTCTAAAAAAATCTAGAGAGAAAACGAAAAATATAGGCCTAGACCTTCAGTCAGATAGTGTGCCCTAAAGTTCTAATATTTGTTAGTAATAAAGATTGACAGTAATAATATATAGGACTAGTAGCCTACTAGTGACAGTGTTTATTATTTATTTGTCAATTTGATTGGAGTATTGACATTAATTGTTTACTCAATTAATTTTTAATATTAATTGCTATATTTTAGTTGTTAGCTTTCCAGCGGATGTTGGAATTCAATAACTATTTTTTTTTTTTAAATGAGCAATTCAATTGAATTTCTTGAAAGATTTCTTTTTCAGGCAGCATACCTACTGTATGTATTTAATATGTGTGTATTTTTTTTTAGGTTGAGGAGCTTGGTATCTCCATCATCACTTGTATTTTTATGCTTGGAGCATATTAGTGACAATCTAGAAAAACATTGCAAAGAAATTTCACTATCAGATTGTGAGGGTATTAACTCACAGTTAGTGTTCAGACACCAGGATGTGTTCTTGCACTCCTCTTTAGCCGAATGTCTTTTACAAATCTTGGCCAAGAGGCATATGCTCAATGATCTGGTACTAAGTCTGTTTTCAAATCCATCCACAACTCAGTTGAGCAGGGTGAATATATCGGGAAGCTCTGCCACGCTAAGTGGTCTAAAAGCTCTCTCATCCCATAGAATTACCGACTTGGATGCTTCCCGTTTATCGAATGTAAACTTTACAGATATTATCGTTGCACAAGGGCAATGGACACGAAAGAATATAAAATCTCTAAATGTCAGTGGTTGTACATTTAACACGAACCATACAAATTTCTGTATTGTTATACCTCTATCACAGTTGAAATCGCTTTTGCACCTCAACGTAAGCTACACTGAATTCAACAATAACCTTGGCTTAGAAATGGTTGCTGAGAAATTGACGAATCTAGTGAGCTTAGATATATCGGGTACTTACGTATACAATATTCAACCCCTCTTGAAACTAAAGCATACGCTACGATCGTTGATAATGTTTAAAACGCGAGTTCCAGAAAAGGACCTTATTCCAGTGTTAATGGAGCTCAAAGAGTTACGTTACTTGGATATTTCGGAAGATGCGCATCCAATGATTGACATGACTCAGAAACCCAACGTCTGCATGCTTTTGTTTACAGAAGTCAGTCTTCCAAATATTACTGGATTAGACATCTCAGGAAGGGACAATGTGCGAGAGAGTGCCCTTGTAGAGTTTTTAGACCACCATCCAAATTTGAAATTTCTTGGCTTGACAATAACTCAGTCTCTCATGCGGGATAATCACACGACGTATGAACTATGTGGGGTTGATTTTCTTACGGATGAATCACATCCTTTCTATAGGAAAGACTTACAGGTGAAAATATTCAATTTTTTTAAAATTTTATTTTAAACAATCAAATTTATAGTCATTAATTTATAGTTCACATCCATCCATGCAATGTTTTTATTGTAAATTGTAAACACCTTTAGCCATCCATCTTTGATTGAATGTGATACATTTTGTAGGTTTATATACATGCCTATGGACTTTCTAGGAGTAATTATGCAGAGACTGTGCTTACCACATGCATGCAAGTGGCGCTTTAGTCGCAGTACTATGGATAATCTTCTTTACGCTTTAAAATGCTAAAGTTCTAGTAGGCTTGTCTAAAGCTATGTCCACACTATCATATTTTCTGTGACAAGTATCTGTGATTTGCCTATATATGGTCATGATGATGTCATCACAACCATAATGGTATGGGCAATTCACAGTTGTTTGTTACATCAAACCTCATGTTTTCGACAGAGCATTTAACAACTGAAGCATTTTTTTTTTTTCATCTGTCATAATTTGCTGGTACAGGTGTCGGGTCATGTGACTGAAAAACAGGTGCTTGAGGGTCTGAGGCGCTACACTTCAAGAGGGCAGTATGTACACAAACTACTCTGTGGCTTGTTCAGTCTAACTCAGTATTTGAGTGAACCAAGGCCTGATATTGTAGAGGTGAGTATTAATACTGAGCTTTGTCAGAGAAAAGTGATCTTTACTGTGTACCATTTCTTTGTTCAGTGAAAGAAAGAATGGATGTATTCAGTGGTGAGACAGGCAAGATTTCAGATGCTGGCGCAGCCACTGGATGTGTTGTTCATGTTGTTTTCAGACAGGGTACAGCCTTACTATGCATATGGCTTGCATCACATTTCGTCAAGTGTTTTTAGAGTACTTTAACCAGACTTATGGTTGATCCCATTGTGTAGAATGTACAGTAGCAAGTAAAACAACTTAAGAAATATAATGATTACGGTATACATTTTTACCCATCTCTTCCAGCTTGTTCTTCCTGGTATGAGGGCTCACAGTATGCACCTTGGAGTACAGATGGCAGCCAGGTAGGCTTAAATTATTTTAATTATATTCCATCACATTGTTTATAGCTTCTTACAAGGGTGAATTTTCTTGATGCTTCTCCCTTCAACTCTCAATAAATATCCACAGATTTTTATCCTGTTGACTTGCTTGAGATTACCTAGCAACCCCACTAGTAAACCAAACCAACCGTTATGTGCATTTGAGAAATCCATCAAAATTATGAAATTCACCATTAAATGCTAGAATGCACCAGCTCCAATGAACCTCACCCCTAACCCTAACAGGTGTTTTTCCCCTGAACTCCACCAGGGCACCTAGACACCCCCACCCCTCCTAAGAATTCATGGACCATGTCTGAACATTAATTTAATTTTACAACATTTCACAGTATATTTTGTTGTTGTTCTACTGCATACATTTTATGAAGCTTTATTTCAAATGTTGAATGATAATAGACTTATGACAATAAAATATTTTTATAGTTGATATGTTTAGGAAAATATATATTTGTATTTGTGATAATATTTATATTTTTGAGTTAGATCCATAAAGCAATATTTTAATCACATAATTGCATTTTCTTTCTAGTGCTTGTCTGTATAACCTAACAAAACTGCAACTCGGGGAGGAGGTTCATCCTTCCATACTGAAGTCAATGATTGAGCTGACATTAAAAGCCATGCGCAATTTTCCTGATCAACAACAGGTAATCTTAAAAAAGTGATTTGTCATCAATTCTTTGTAAGCAGTAATGGAACCATAAGAAATTAGAGAATCTTTTGGTGAGGTAGTGTTTTAATTTTCAACTGAAAGCTGTTAACATGCTTATATATACAAAGTAACTAGTTCAAATATTGATATTACCGTATACTCGCATATATTGTGATCCATGTATAAGATGACCTCCGAGTTTGAGAAGGTTTTTGGACAATTTTTATATGTCAGGCATATAAGACGAACCCCTTGTTTCATTGTTGGTATTCCTACTTTAAGCTGCTTTTTATGGTCTTGATACTGCCTCTTGCTAGCTAAAAACGAAGCCATGTGTAGGGTCAACCTTCCAAATACTACCTTTTTATGGGCTTTTGATGTTCATTGAAATCTTAGTTCCTCACATTTAAAATTGTGTTTACATTTAGTAGTTTTATTTCATTAGTAATAAATTCATGTGTTACAGACGATCCGTGCATAAGGTGAACATGATTTAAAATAAAAATTTTCATGTGTTATGCCGTATGAGACAAACCTTGTTTTTCGATAGAAATTTGCTATTTTAACCTTGTCTTATATGTGAGAATATACAATTTATACCTCAACTCAGAATGTATATCTTTAATATATTGCACACATAATGTTTTTGTCTTTGCAGCTTCAGAAAAATGCACTGTTAACCATGTGTAGTGATCGCATTCTGCAGGATGTGGTAAGTTAACAGTTCTAATTTAAGTAATAATAATGATTGTAAGTTTTGTATAGGACCCATATCCATTCTGAAAGAGTTGCTCAAGGCATTTTCCCTGGTAAGTCCCTGGGCTTCATAATGAGACTTAGTTCATAAAGCATCATCCAACTTGTAACTGGCATCTATACTTGCTTTTGGATGCAAAAGAAATATTTAAAAATATTTGTTTTATTTTTAATTAGCATTTTGTTGTAATTGTTGTTGCTAATATTGTTTTTATTAATATTATTGCAATAAAAATAATGTTGATTAAGGGAATGTTGTTCTCTTTGCAGGATTTTGATCGCTTCCAAGCCTCTCGTATGGTCATGGATTGCTTGTTTGCTTTTGATGACCAGTCAATGATTCGAATGGCAGTTGCTATCTGCTCCATTCTGGCTGCCAAGATCTCAACTAAGCAGACAGCTGAACTGGGCACAAAGAGGAATATGCAGGTAAATGCCCTCACCACATGTTGCCCTTTCATTCCATCAATCAATTACAGTAATCAACCTCTTAAAGATAAAAATTCTTAACACTCTATTTTATAAACCTAATATACAGGCCTCTAATTATAAACCCCTCCAATTAAAGACCACCTCCAATTAAGTCCCATCTTAATAAGTCTTTTTTTTCTAATTAGAGACCAAAGCTGCTACAGACCATTGAAACCCAGGTCCCAAAAATGGTCTTTGATTGGAGGGAGGCCTGTATTAATCAATTCTAAATTTCACATTTTTTAATAAAACCACTTGTTTGTTGTTTCTTTCTAAAGAAATTACTGCAGATTGTTAAGCAGAAAGCAGATATGGAGAACGCTGACATAATCCTGAAATTTACTCTTAGCGCCCTCTGGAACCTGACTGATGAATCACCATCAACATGTGCTATATTTGTTAATGAAGGTGGCTTGGAACTGTTTATAAAGATACTGCAGGTGTGTGAAATTAAGATTTTAGAATGCATTAGATATTGAGGAACCTCCCATTGGTGATTCTGGAGACATCCCATTGATCATTCCAGGGACTTGCCAGTGATCATGCTGGAGAGATCCCATTGATCATTCTAGAGATCTGCCATTGGTCATTCTGGAGGCATCCCATTGATCATTCTGAATACTTTCTATTGATCATTTTAAAGACTTCCCATTGATCAGTCTATGTACCTGCCAATGATCATTTTAGATACCTCTTATTGATCATTCTAAATACTTTCCATCAAACATTCTAAAGACTTGCCATTGATCATTCTAAATACTTCCCATTGATTATTCTAGAAACGTTCCATCCTCATCATTTTAGTGATTTCCCAATGACCATACTAGAGACCTGTGTAATTGGTCATTCTCTGAACCACCATTTGAACATTCTAGGGAACTCAATTGGTCATTATAGGAAACTTACTTTGATTATTCTATGAACCATCAGGTAGTAATCATTCTTGGGAGTATCCATTGATCAATGTAGAGTCTGCGCATTTGGAATTTCTTTGGACCTTCCATTAATCAATCTAGGGACCTGCAATTTATTACTATTACTGATGTTTTTGTTAATGTTGTTTTTTATTTATTTATCATTATTATTAACATTATTTCTGGGGGGTTATTTTTCAGTCCTTTCCGTCTGAAGCATCTCTACAAACCAAAGTTCTAGGACTTGTCGTAAGTATATTATTATTTATATGTGCCAACATGCAATCACAACCACTTCCGCATAAACTCTAAGCAATGTTAAACAATGGAAGTCTCCTGACACCTGCCTGTTGTTGGGTTTGGGTTTATTCTTTGCAAAATAACATCAAAGACTATAGAACTGCAAGAGATCTGACTGGTCTTATTTTTGTATGCATGCAATGAAATTTTTAAAAAATACTACCATGGAGGGAGCAGCTTATTAAAATACAAATAGAGCTGGAAATTCGAATATGCTTTCTATAAGTCTACGTCAACTTGTGTGTTTTTGAGTCATGCATACTCCTGCCCGTAGGAATATGACCAGGAATAGGATGCTTAACCGAAAATTCAAATTGTACAAGGTACGAATAACACTTGACTAAACACAAAATTAAGACTTGTTAATTGACAAAATTTATTTTAAAAAATGATATAGCATATTAAACCAGATAATTATAAAGATAAAACTAACATTAATAATATTAGTCATACAATTTATAATAATAAGTAATATAAATGTTATTTTATAAAATGAAAGAGTTTAATGTTATGATTATTATGGAAATAACTTCAATATGTAGTAATATTAATAATAATTATGGTAATAATTATTTTACTGAATGGATGCTGCAGCGATTATAGTTGCCTTAAAGCCAGGGTCCGGAGGAAAAAACATTTTTTCAATATGTTATACAGCCTATTTTTCTAAGACATGAAAATGTTGTTTGACAGAAACTCAGGAATGGTTAATGAGATACAGATTTTTTTCAATATTTTAAAACTGGGAGAAAATATTGAAAATGGGAATTACAGCCCTTTTCCCCCAGTTTTTAAAAATTTATCTTGGAAAAATCTGTTGTACAACATATCAAAAGGGCTTTTCCTCCGGAGCCTGACATTAAGCCATAGTTATATCTTGTGTTGCCCGTGTTATGTGATTGCAACGTTTTAAAGATTTCTTTAAAACAATTTCTCTTTTTTAAGAACAACATTGCAGAAGTGAAGCATTTACGACACTTCTTGTTGCGAGGAGACTTCATAGACCATTGCAGGTTTGTTGGATTATCTTGTTTTGCTTTTTAAGCCAGGCACCCAGCAGTTGTTGGCTGACTCGATTCTATGACGAACGCAACCCGACAATGCGTGCACAACAGATTATTTTTAATGACAATTCATTCAGACTGTCACCAAAAATCGGCAGATGGCGTTGTGTAGTCTAGCAGTCATATAACACAGTTATTGCCCGGTTTTAGGCCTCATTTTAAGTCTTTACTTCCTTTCCAACCGAATGAGTTTGATTACCCAAATTAAAGGTGATTTTAAGTAAATTAACTTGTATGGGTGTAATTTTGCCCTACATGACGTGGAAATGTACCAAATACTCGGTACATTTGAAAACAATTGCGAAAAAAAATCGCAAGTTGTTCTCGGGTGGAACTCGAACCCACGATCTCCAGACCACTAGCCTGGCATCATACCTCTAGACCACTGAGCTTGCGCCTGATGGCCAGGGTTGAATTTCCAAGTAAGCAGCGGGTACTGCAGTGTTAATAGTAATTGTTATTGTCGTGATGGAATAATAGACAATAACTGGATTTGCGTCTAGGTGTAATTTTGCCCTACCTTAACTTGACTTGTAAAACATCGGTGATATAATAATTATAATAATCATAATAAAGATGTATTAAGATTCTACTTTTGCAGAAAGCTACTCGGCAGCGGGCATTTGGAAGTGAGCTATTTCGCAGCCGGTATCATTGCTCACCTAGCTCATGAGAGTGTTAAGGACTGGGGTGCTTGTTTTATGGAACGGGTTGAAATTCTCAATGCGTTGGTAAATATTTCATTTTGTTATTGCATCATATGTATATAGCAATAATTTTATGATATAGTAATTATAATTATAACTTAATATTTTATTTTAGTTTTTATGTAATTTAAATGTAAACAGTACAGAAGGAAAAACACATTGCTGACAATATCAGGTCTTATATGTTGTGAAGTTTAGTATTCTTTTCCTAATTAAATAATTAAATTAAATCTGTAATGATGATAATGATAATATTAGGTTGACAATATAATAATTATGTTTATTGTTGACATCTTTACATAGCATTCTAAGATACTATCATGGGAGAATCCAGAGAGTGAGATGGTGGCTTATCGGTCATTCAGTCCGTTTTTTCCATTACTTGAACGGTATGATACACCAGAGGTACAGCTGTGGTCTGTATGGGCCATGCATCATGTATGCACAAAAAATGGTAAGTACAGGAATGGTGGTTGTTCAACCTGTTTATTCCTATGTTCATAATGCCTGGTTCGTATTGCCAAACCACATGATCAAATTATCTGGTCATTTTATGCAATTACTGGTCCTTTTGTTGTATAGATAAGTAAAAAAGAAAGAAAATTATAATATGTATTTTTAGGTATGTATTACATAAAAAATGAATATTGCATAATAAATTTTAAAAACTTATAATAATTGTATATTATTATTGGGCCAAATAAAATAATTTGTTTGTTTGCCCTTCTTTTTAAAAAAATGATAAGTGGGGGGGGGGGCGGCGGGCGGGTGGAAAATACTCATCAGATGGAATAAAAATGACCAACAGAGGCCTAGAATGGCAATATCTTACATCAGACAATAACTTTAGACTAATTTGTAGGGCATCTGGCAAAAAATAGAGATAAATTCACTCATATTTTTTTTAATTTGTAAAGAAAAAATCTAAAAAACTTTTTTAAAGTTTTTTTGTTTTTCACCCCTATTTTTTTTTTCAGTGAGTTAGGGGCAGGTGGAGGAAAGCAAACAAACAATTTTTTTTTGGCCTTATATTAATATTTTTAACATTTAACTTCTTTATTTCCTAGCATCTCGTTACTGCTCTATGCTTCTGGAAGAAGGCGGAGTTGATATACTACAACGTTTGGTCAGCTCTTCTAGTGTCCACCCAGATGTCCAGGCCATGGCTCATAAAGTCTTACAGATACTTCTACGAACTAAACCCTTGCAAGGGTTCAAAAGCCCAGCTCATCAGTAAAGCTTGGCATGTTCTAACAAGCACATACCCACACACACACAACCCCTACATGGGCGTAGGCTGGGGGAAGCAAATTACTTCCACTGTGTGGGTTAAAGTACTAAAATGACCATTAAGTTTTCATTGGAATAGAGATTTACGTCTACATTTTGGGATTTATTTCCACATTCTCATCTTCCCCCCTCCCCCACCACCCAAGCCTACTCCCCTGCCTTACATGCAAATATTTCAATGTTTGATCATCTTACCCTTTGAATATAACCCCCCCATTACCCATATGGCATTGTTTTATAAATTAGAAAAATACCACCAAGCCCCTACCGTCCAATGCTTTTAAATTATTGAATATTTGTAACTAAATGATTATTAGCACGCACTTATATATTCTTCATATATGAAGACAATTTGTATAGTTGGGCTAATCAGAATTGTAAGGTATACCCAGTACAAATATACCTCTTGTGGCGTATACCGTTGTTACTAATATTTATGCATTTTTTGACATATTATAGTAATGGTCAACATTACTGTATCGTGTTCTTTATCGTGTTCTTAATAGGGACATTGTTTAAAAACTGACAGCCCTGCATAAAAATGGGATCATTTTAATGCAAGCTCATATTAATTTTTCCTTTAAAATGTTATCATCCTGATATCATCACAGTGATTGGTGGTGAGGTAGAATATAGATGGTTGTTATTGGTCAGACGTTGATATGCTGAATCCAAGGTAATGATCTGCAGTGTATTGAAGCTGGGAATGGGCCTCAGCATATTAAAGCTGACACTTGGCCTCTGTATTAGTAGAAGCTGAGGTAGTACATATATTGTAGCTGAGACCCTAGAGTGTATGGAAGCTGACACTAGGCCTTGTACTCAATCCAAAACCACACTTGGAAACTTTTTTTATATAGACCTTAGATGTGTATAAGAGACAGATATTAAGGCTGAGAATAGGCCTTAATACGTTAAAGTTAATGAGTAAAGTATGTTGCAGCCTAGAGTAGGTCAACGTGTTTGGAAGCAGAGAGAACTTGATTCCAAGGCCTCATAATATTGATGGTGAAAGCTTGGAGAACAGCATATTTAAGCCAAGAGCAGATCTGGCTTTGTTGAAGCTGAGATTAGGCGATTGAAGCCAAGATGAGGACTGTAGTATAATGAAAGAAAGACAGCAGTACATTGATGTTAGGCCTACAGTATATTGAGTCAGAAAGAAGGCTTAGAATGTTGAGCTGAGAGTACAATAGGTTTACAAATATACAGATTGAAGCTGAGTGCTAGTGTACACTCCCAGGTCCTATTGGAGACGACAGTAGTAAACTGAAATCCAGCATATATTATTAGGCCTATAATTAGTATACTAATACTTGTATTTAAGCCTAAAACTCTGTCCACACTGCAATTTTATGTGACAAACTTTTGTTATGTGCCCATATATGGGCATGATGATGTAATATTACACCCAAATATGGGCATATCATAGGTTTTTTTTATAGTGTGGATAGATCTTATGGTATATGGATGCCAAGGGAATGTCGTGTAGAAGAGAAGAGTTACAAAATGTTTAGAAATCTAAAGAGTGCAATTATTGAATGAAGCAAAATATTTTACTATTATAATGTTATAATATAATAAGATATAATGTTATATGATAGAGTTAGTATTTTTTTTTATGATAGTGAATTTGAATGTATAATATGCAGGATGTATTACAGGAGTTGATGATACCAAAAATGATTTCAGTTTTATTTAATTTAAGTTGTGATTTAAAATTTCGAATGGGTTTTTTATTCACACTTAACATTAATGTCACTTTATCTAATGCTAACCTTCAGGGAGCCACTTACAATGTTTTTAATCCTGTACTGATCACGTTACTTCGTCGATTGGTTAACAGATAACGTCTTATGTTATGAAAATGATTAGTAGAATCATTTTTTGCATATTTACGGGTTAAATCGCCTTATCTTGTATGTAAACGTAAAGTAAAAGGTTTGAAAACTGTTGAAAATAAATATAAAAATTAAGTAGGAAAAATATTATTGTGATTCTTTCTTGCAAATATAAGGAAATGTCGGAAAGAACTATTTTTAATGGATCAGGTAATTTTCTTAATTGTTATGATAGTCTAATCGTGGAGGTGAGAACATGAACGAACCAGAGCGCAGTCTTTAATGTCGCGCGTACAAATTCGATAATTCTTTAACCAATTAGAGCTGAAGAAATTATGACTGTGAACAATATACAGGATATTATACTTTACCTTGGGGAATTAGAAAGCTTATAAAATAACAAAACGGCAGCATATATGAGTTTCGTATTGAATACTTCTTGTGCGACCTTTTTTTATATTGAACTACGTCATTAATCAATAAAGTAGGCTTTAGAGTTTGCAGCTAGCGATTTTAACAATGTACAGCGAAAATTATTACCTCGTGCCATTGTGTGGTCCCTACTGATATAACAACAAGCTAGCAACTACACACGTCTACCAAGTCTGGATGGTCTGTGAAACAATTGCCTATATCCACAGAAATATAGAACTATTGAAGTGGATTCTTATGCCCACTGATATACTGCTAATTGAAAACATGGTGGAATTAGGATAGCATTCTTGATAGCGACAATAGGTCTATCGCATCATCTCAGAAGCGACCTAAAACCAGCACCAGATAGAATTACCAGTGGATATTATTATTTTCAGTGTGTACATGAGTGTAAAATCCTCCTGATCATTACGCGTTATTATCATAACTTGGGTTTTATTGGAGCATAAACAAGTTTACACAAAGCGAGTGTGAAATTTGATGACAGTTCTGCTGGACCTGAAGGCTATTTATGAAAATACTTTCAGAAATGAAAAGGCATATTATTTAGTCGGCTTGCCTGATATTCAGAAACCAAATTCAACGCTTCTAAGACATCAGATCTTTAAAAAAAATAAAATGTCACAGCATATTGAAATGGAAGATTGGGTAAGCGGTAGTAGTATAGCCGGTAAGTGCCAAGGTAGTCTGTTACCCCTTCGTTGGCAATGTCTTTTAGGTTTTGTTTTTTCAATAGTGTTAACAGTGGCGTAACCAGGGGAAGAAGGTTTTACGGTGCCTGAGATAATTAAACAATATAAGTTTATTTAGACGTTAACAGCCAATATGTGGTGCAGTCGTGGTTATCGATATGGTCCGTCCCTAGTTTTGTACCATGCTCTGGTCCCTAGTTCAGTATTGTATTGCTATTTAGCAAACCCCCTTTTCAAATGCTGGATACTCCACCGGTGTAATAGTATTCAACATCTGTAATGTTCCCATTGAGGTGATCATTAATCGAAGTCTTTATGGAATATGAGCTCTTTTATACCACTGTACTCAATCCAAAACCACACTTGGAAACTTTTTTTATATAGACCTTCAATTTGACGAAAATCATGTGGGTATGTTTTGATTTGTAGACACTTATGCTCCCATTTTATACATTTATATAAGCATACCATTGTAGAATTGCGTGAGAGGGTCTGTAGCGATAAAACGGTACAATAGGCGTATTTGTAAACAATTCGGTATCTATGAAATATTATATTGCTATTTACGTAGAAACTGAAAAAGCTTTAATTGTGTTTAAATCATTATTTAAATAGGTATTGTGCACTTGCTAAAAAGCACCTGGTTCGGAACGATTGAGTAGCCGCCATTGAAAGAAATATATCGCTTTTTAATGGAAATAATAATAAACTGGACGTTAGGCTCTTAGAATTAGTTTTAGAAATTGTCGACATCTGCCACTGGTTTTATCGATTTGAGGAAACAACAAATCATCATTTTAATGTCTATCAGAAGGTGGAAGCCTTAAATTTCGTGGGGGTGGTGGTTAATGTTGGCTACTTCAGACTACATCAGCAAGTTACCCCGGCCTGAAAACGGCATGTGTCATGTATACGCACACGCACACATGCGTTTGTGGACAACACGTGTGTTTGTTTGACACGCGTCCAGACCCGTCTCGGCCCCACCATGGTTGGGGGCTGAGGTGCAAAAAGTTAAATTACCTCTAGATAGCCGGGAATGACACTCTTATATTAAAATCCATCATTACATCACCATATAGTCAAATTGAAGCGCTAGCAAATTTCTCATGATCTTTTATCAGCGATTTCGGCAGTCATGAGATCCGAATTAATACCATCGAAAAATGAAACTGAATTGTCTTTGATGTACATATTTTACCTACTTCGTGTACCAATCTATCTGTCTTTACATGCTTTTTCTAATACTTTTCAAATTATTATAAGGCTTGCGCAGTGGAGTCGTGTATTTGGTGGGCAGATATACCAGTATCTTCCTATAAGATAAGATGTATTCTGGTTGTATAGGGCTCTTTCGTTAAAACCTGGGTCATATTTATGCAGTTCATTTCAACAATTTCAGGCATCTTCTTGACTTATGAAATCACATTGCCGCCGAAAAGTGAGGGAGAAAAACCTCTTAAAAATATGTGTCCCCCGTCCCCAGCCTATGATCAGCGCTCATGATGGTCCATCAAAGTAGGTCCTTCAAAAAAGTCTGGAGGGGACTGGAGCTTCTTTCATGGGTGCAGGTCAACTCGGCCACAAGTCAACTCGGCCACAGTCAACTCGGCCACAAGTCAACTCGGCCATAGGTCAACTCGGCCACAAAAATTTCAGCTTCTGCCAACTCGGCCACAAGTCAACTCGGCCACAAGTCAACTCGGCCACAAATCAACTCGGCCACAAGTCAACTAGGCCACAAGTTATTTAATGTAAATCCAAGTTTTTTGCATCCTTTTTCTTCAATATATGATTGCAATAAAGTACACAGTATGTTTTAGTAAAACAGGACCACCACACTACCAAAAGAGATTTGAATGCTATTGCCTATGAATTAAAAAGAGTTATTTATTAATGTGTTCGTCTTCTGTTTACTCACAACATTACTAATTAGTCATTATGACGATAATAAATGTGATAATAACAACAACATTAATAGTAATATTTATTTTAACAAATAGTAATAATACTAGTATGGTAATAATAACGATATTTAAATATCAATTTTAATAACTAATTAGTGATAATAACGATATTGAAGGTGATAATAGCAATAATACAATAATAAATTAAAGATAATGTTTATTTTTATAATAATAGTAATACTAATTAGTAATAATAATAATAATGGTACTTATAATACTAGGCCTACTTAGTAATAATAGGGTAATAATATCGATAATAAAGGTGACAGCAACAACAATAATATTACTAATAATAATAATAATATGAGAAAAATACTAATAAAACGCCAATAACAACAACTTTTTAAATTACTATTATTAAAATTATAATACTAATAAATAATAATAATAATATGAATAATGATAATAAAAAATCGAAAATTATTTATTATTTATATGGTACTATAAATATATGTACTATATATATATATATAGC